GACGCAGGGGCCTCCCCACCCCAGGAGTGGGACCCGCGTCTCGGAACAGGGTGGCCCAGGGTCCCAAAGGCTCCTGGGCCGCCAGCGGTCTGGGCGGTGACTCACGTAGCGGTCCTTCAGCGCCTTGGCGGCCGCCAGCGCCCTGGGGTCCAGCGAGCGGTAGTGGGAGAGCAGGCAGCGCCGGGGCGCGGGCACGCCGGGGTCCTCCGCCTCGCCCAGCGTGTACAGGAGCCACAGCCCCGCGGCCAGCGCGACTCGGCCACTGGGTCCCATCTCTGTCCCTGCAGGAACCCTGGGACGTCAGGCAGGCCACAGAGAGGGTCTCATGGCTCCTGCCCAGGCCTCTTAAAGTCGCAAAGAGAAGATGCCCAGAGCTTGGCAACCATCACACCCATGGGTAGAGAGAGACCCAGGATTGGTGCTCCTTCCTCCCTCAGCCCCTGTCCCCTTGGTCCTCACCTTGGTGTCCCTGAGTACTGCAGCAGGGCTTGCCTCTGTGTCCTCTGAGTAGTGTCCAGGGTGGCGTCCCCTTGAGCAGTAGTGCCTGGACCATCCATGTTGGCTTTTATGTGCCCGGCTCTGACATGGTCTGTAGCTGGCCTTCTCTGACCTTGGGAACCTTCCCTATCATCATTGCTGGCCCCAGCCCTCGGGGATCCCTGGAGTGTAAGGACTTTGTTCTCCTGTGGTCCTGCGCCAGAGATGGCTGGCTTGAAGCTGCATCCTGGCAAACTGCCTGTTTCTGTTTTCAGGATGTCTGTTTGTCTTTCTCTACTTGTATCTGGTCTCTCTTCTGCATTCTAGGAACTAACTGAAAACACACGTTTTCCTGCTCTTTGGGCACTTTTTTTTTTTTTTTGAGAGTTTTTTTTGCTATAGGGCACATGTGCTCGCCAGGAAGACAGAGAGACAGAGAGACAGAAAGTGAGAAATCACCCCCCAGGGGGGATGGCCTCCATTCTCCTCTTGAGATCTTGGGCACACACGCACACGCACCCCGCGTGAGTTTAAGCCACCGGGTCTGGGACTCGAACTGCAGTTGACTACATGGGAGTCCAGCAACATAGCCATTATGCTAACTGCTGGTCCTGCGTTTTCCTGCTCTTTGAATCTGGGCACTTGGCAGAGGCATCCAGCCATGCTAGTGCCTGCCCTCAGAGTTCTCAACGCCCATGTGCTCTCTCAGGCTTCACCCTGGGCCTGTCATTCCATTCCTGCCCTCCATCTTGTCCTTCATTCTCTTCCCTTAATAGTCTCCTTTTCTTTCTCTCTGCTTTTTCTCATTTGTGTCTCTGTTGAATTTTAAATAAATAAATATATATAATATTTACTTTATGTTATTTTATTTATTCATTCATTTATTTTTTAATTTGGCCAGAGAGAGACAGAGGATGAGAGTGAGAGAGAGAGGAAGTGAGAAAGCAAGGCACCAGATTCAGGACTCGAACCCTGGTCAACCATGTGGGAGTGTCCAGTGTCTCAACCACCACGCCACCTGCTGGTCCCCAGAGCTGTTTTTGTTTTAATCTGCTATCTTGTTATTTTTGTTTTAATTTCCAGAAGGTGCATGCATTCTCCAGAGAGAGACAGAGAGAGATAGAGAGAGAGAGGAGATGAGAAAGCACCCCACATAAGGAATGATGATGCCACAATCCCTTCTCCTTTTCTGCCTCCCTTCAGAATCTTGAGCACATGTGCACATGTGCCCAGAGCGTTTTTCAAGCCACCAGGACTGAGATTTTAACTTGGCAGGTTGGCCATGTGGGATATAGCTCCCTTAACCCCTAGGGCAAGGGCTGGTCTTATTCTGTTATTAAGTAATGTTCATTCCTTTAGCAATTTTCAAAGTATTTTCCATTTGCTATAGAAAATTGAAAGTGCAGTGGCCAGCAAGGTGGTATGGTTGAGGCAGCTGGATACCACATGGCTAACTGCTTGCGGTTCAAGTCCCAGAACTGGTGGCTTGAAAAACACTCCAGGCTGTGGATCCTGTCCAAGCTTACAGAGCTTTTGTGGTGGAATGACTGTGGTGTTCTGCTGTTCTGATGTTATGGGTGATGTTCTGCCATCTCTCAGCTGTATAGACCAATCTACCCTAAACAGAATAGCTTACGTGTGTTTTGAGCACATCAGACAAGGTTTCTACATGAGACTGATTTAATGAATTATAGTTCAGTTTATGAAGAAATATTGATAATAACAGGTAAATAGTAACTGGATTTTTTTCTGGATTGTGTGTGTGTGTGTATATATATATATGTGTGTGTGTGTGTGTGTGTGTGTGTGTGTGTGCACTCACCAGAGAGACAGAGACAGATATACAGAAAGTGAGAAATCATCCTGCCCCAGGGGGGAGATGACCATGCCACAATTCCTTCTCCTCCATTCTCCTCTCAGGATTTTGGGCAAGCATGCACATGCACCTGGCATGGGTTTTAAGCCACTGGGTCTGGGACTTGAACTGTGGTCAACTATGTGGGAGTCCGGGGACATAACCATCATGCCATCTGCTGGTCATGGCGATTTCTTTCTTTTTCTTTCTTTCTTTTTTTTTTTTTTGCCATAGAGTTTATGGGGCACATGCATTTGGCAGGGAGAGAGGGGGGTGGGAGCTAGAGGGAGAGAGAGAGAGAGAGAGAGAGAGAGAGAGAGAGATTGAGAAATCATCCCCAGGGGGAATGGTCATGCTGCAAGCCCTTCTCCATTCTCTTCCCAATGCACACACATACACGCGTGCCTGGCATGATTTTCAGGCCTGAGGTCTGAGACTCGAATGCGGTCAGCTGTATGAAACTCCAGCATGTTAATCACCATATCACCTGCTGGCCTCTGGATTGGTAGTTTCTTATGAAACCAAACATGCAACTCTTAGTCAGCCCAGAGATTGTCCACCTGGACATTTATTCCAGAGAAATTAATACTTATATCTATGCAATAGTTATTTGCGATGAAAATATTCATAGTTTTTTTTTTTTCCACAATAGCTGAAACTACAAAACCCAGCTGTCCACCAAAGGGTGAATGGTTAAACAAACTCTGGCACATATACCCCACACAATAGGAGTGAGCTGCCAACACAAGTAACACCTTGGGAGAATATGGAGGGGATTATGCTGGGTCAGAAAAGCCCATCTGGGGCCAGCAGGTGGTGTGGTAGTTGAGGCACTGGATCCCACATGGCCAACTCCATAGTTTGAGTCCTGGACCCAGTTGCCTGAAAAAAAAAAAAAAAACAAAACAAAAAACACAGGTGCATGTATGTGCATGCCCAAAATCCCAAGAAGAGAATGGAGGAGAAGGGGTTGTGGCATGGTCATCCTCTCTGGGGAGTGATTTCTCACTTGTCCTTCTCTCTCTCTGTCTCTCCATTGAACACACATGCCCTATACCAAAAAAAAAAAAAAAAAAAATCTAAAGAAAAAAACAATCCCAAAAGGGTACAG